GCCACTAACTGATGCCTTGTTTTATCAGTGTGAGGTTGCCTTCAGTTTTTACCCCTTTTCTACCCCTACAGGAGATGTGCTACTGAATAATGATACCAGATAAACACCACAAATGATAACCAAGCATGCTAGCCAATATTTGTACATAGTTGATACATGTCGTGCCGGGATAGTTCTGCTATCTCGCAGATACCATATGGAATGAAGATTGCAAGAGGTAATTAGGAGAGTAAATCTGTAATAGTTTGAGGAGGTAGCACAACAGTGAATAGAAAGATCACACCTTGCTGATCATCCTGTTTTCCACTTTTAGTTATGATTCAGTTGAAAGCCCAAAGTCATTTTAGCCTGGTCCATCATTTATCTAAAAGATAAGTCTGTAAATGATTAGACTAACCATTTAGTTTCATGGACATTTTTGTTGCGAGCTATCACAGTTGCTATGATTTATAGTAAAAACAATCTCCCAAGACTGCTGGCTAAAAAAGACCCAAAACAAAGTACCAGGAACTATATATTTTATGGTGTCTAAAATATTCTTATTATTCATTGAGTTCCCCAAAGTGTTCAAAATAATGCAGATTCTTCTTAGTGCGAAGACATGGGCTAAACACCTTTACCAAATACTATTTTTTGCCAAAATATATTTTGCAAAGTATAAAAGTTAGAAACAGCAGAACAATAGGGATTAGTTAGAGCAGGGGTTCTCAAACTGGGGGTCGGGATCCCTTAGGGGGTCGTGAGGTGATTACATGGGGGGTCGCGAGCTGTCAGCCTCCACTCTAAACCCCGCTTTGCACCCAACATTTATAATGGTGTTAAATATATTAAAAAAGTGTTTTTAATTTATAAGGGGGGGTCGCACTCAGAGGCTTGCTATGTGAAAGAGGCCACCAGTACAAAAGTTTGAGAACCACTGAGTTAGAGAAAGTTGATCAATATTTCAGATCAGGTACCTACAAAGAAGGGAAAGAAGCATGAACATTTGTATGTAGCTCTGTCTACTTTTAACTTTTCTTCAGAAGCTCTGATTTGCTACTGAGTATTTGACTGAAGAGTGCACAACTGTATTGGGTGAGAAAGTATGGTGTGAGATACTTGTACACTCATGCTCCTTTAGGCAGTGGTGTTTTCAGAGGGCCTGCTCTGTAAGTGGTACACGTAAATGGAAATGATATTGGGGGAGAAATCTGTTGATGTCATTTAAACTGGAAGAAAATGTGTCTAACAAAAGCTTGCCCTGATCCAATACCTTGCTCTACACCTTGTAGAGTGTGGAATTATGTTAAAGTCCTAAGTGGGAACAGGAGATTAAAATTATGCCACGTTTAGTAACTTTGCTATATGCCTGCAGCTCCTGTTGTGTTCAGTAGGAGTTCTGCATATGAAACCACAGACAGGAATTGATCCTTTGTGAAGTTCACTGGGGAAGAGAAGGAGATGGAATTGTTAGGCACATAGCAGTGTGCCTAAAATTCAGAAAACACTGTAGGTTTTACATAACAGGTTAGATGCTGAAAATGTGAAGAATTATAGTCAAGAGAGCTGTTACTTATTCTCCTGCTACTGCTTGGCATCTCGTTGGGGCCATACTGGGAAATGGTTGCAGTCTGAGCACTGCAGGAGAATACTGATCATTATAGAGGAGCTTTGGGCTGGCAAGGAACTTGGCTGGTTTTTTTCCACATGTGAAAAAGATGTTCCAGAAATATCCTGAAGAAAATGGAAGGTTAGTTAGTACTTGAATGCATGACTGTGAATGTTTGGTCTAGTATCCATACGTGGGGCTCTCCTTTCTCGCTAGTGAGGGTTGTTTAATTGGTACTCTGTTTGTGACTGGAGCTTGTAATTTATATAACTTTTTTGAAACAATGACATTCCCATATTTGTGTAGTTAATGTGACCCATGGTATGGAAGCACAGGGGATTGCCAGAGAGATTGGTAATACTGAAATAAGAGATTGGATTTTTAAATATTTATTCCTTTACAACATATGGTATTTAAAATGATTACAGTACAGAAACGTATGCAGTGGGCCCAAATAAATGCAGTGCTTTCCCACCATCTGAAATGAAATTGTCAAGAATGTGAAGTATCGTACTCTGAATATTAGCACTTTCTGAACACCTTCTGCTCCAGAGAGCAGCTCCCTTTATATATTCATGATATCTGCTTAATTTACTGAGTAAAATAAATATTTCCTACCTCTTACACATAATAGCTCTGGAGATCCCATACAGCACCAGGAGACTGAAATGGAATCGATTCTGGCTCATGCATTATCAGCAGAATTGTTAATTAAATTCAGATTATGGAGACTCTAGTGGTGTTAATCCATGAGCCAGAAAAAAAATCCATTTGATTTTGAGATCCCAGGCTGAGTTTGGATGGCTGGTAGCCTTCAAAACTAGCTTTTAACTGAACAGATTTTATCCAGAAGTTATTGAGAAGCAATAAATATGTAACACCATGATGACAATTTCAGTCAGTTCTCATAGTAGACCAGCACTTTAAAAGAATAGATTATCTAACCCAAGAAGAGTTTCATGTATCAGTTATGCTGTAGACTTCAAGGGGGGAAAAATCACCTTTATGTGTGCAAATACAGTCCAATATTTCAACAGTGTAATTAAAGTGTAAATAGGACTCTATTTCCACAATCTGTCTCTCTGCCTCTTTCTTTTACACACTTACAATAGTGACAAAAAGGAAGCCACCAGGCAGACATTATTATCAGTTCGCAGATAAAATGTAGAACTGAACTTCTTTTTTGTCTTACACTGGGAGATTAATTAACAATTTCTAGAGTGGTGATGTAACCTGACAAGACAGCATGCTCTGCCTTTCTGCAATGTTGTGGTACTAACACCTCTGGCTGTCATTATTGCCATAGAAACGGATAGCTTCCCATTACCATGGGTTGTATGGCATGTGCAAATTGCAAAGTGCTGTTCCCTGGCTAGAAGATAGGACATGTCACGCCCCTGAAAACAATGGGCCTGATTCTCCTTTCCCCTTCTCTGGTGTAAATCAGGAATTAACTCAATTTCAGTCAACAAAATGCACAAGTGTAACTAAGAGAACTGTGCCCACTATTTTCAAATCTCAAGATGAACATCGTTCCCCCTACAACAAGCAGTAAAGGGGCAGATTAGCTTCCCACTCTTGGCAATACTCTTAGCAAATACATCAGGAAGTACTCAAGGGATGTATTCCTGACTTAACATTGCTGTGAGAATGTGGTGCAGGGTTTGTAGAGATGAAAAGTACACAACAGATGCTCAGTTCCTGCTGGAGAATTATACCAGTAAAGCAAAAACTAGTCTAAGCTCCACCCTTCCAACCCTCAGTTTAATTGTTGCTTAATATTTAGACATTTTGTGGTGTTTTAAAAGATTATGATGGCAATAAAACAAAAAGGATCACCCTAGTCAAGAGATTGAAAGGTTTGTCTAATCATAAAACGCTGCTGCCACAGCACTTTAACATCACCACATTAATTACCGGCTTTAGGCCATATTCAGCCCCTCTTATTCAGGCAGATCCTACTGACTTTAATTCTAATGTACTGTAGCGTTGTTGTGTTCATACAGCTATGTTAAAGGGAGTGGTGATTTCCCATCAAGAATATAAGAACAAAACCTCTCCAAATTCAGTACTTCCAGCAAGTACAAGTGACAGATTCACTGAGTTTATTCACTGAACTTCCCCACATTATGGCACTTGGTTTTTAAAATACACTATTGCTACACTCCAATACCTGTGGAAATTCAAAATGAATTGCAAACTGTTGTGGTCTGAATCCTGCCATTCATTCCAATTGACTCTCTATTAATTTCAGAAGAGTTGCATAGGTGTAACAAAGGGCATAATTTGACTCTGCAAGTTGATTACTTGTAAATACTGGGAACCAATTGGTGATTTATCCAGTTGCTTTGCTGGCACCAATGGGTTTGCTCAAATCTTGAGATATTCCAGGATGCATGTCTGTAAATAACATATCATAGATTTTTACAAGCATTGTACCTCATACATTTAACGGCTGCAGTCACTTAAATATTAAATGTTAAAATATGGAAATGTCCTGTTGTATTTTTTTTTCACATTCAGAAAAAACTGAATGAAATTTGGTTATGCAGGTAGAAATTTACAAAATCTAGACCAAACCAATATCTGATACGAGATAGCAAAAGCTGCATTTCGAATGTTCAGTCTGGATCTGTAATAAAAGCAAATAGAAGAGATTTCACCATTGGCATCTCTGGTGCCTTTAATGGAGTTACACCAGGACTCCCTATGGCCCGTTATGAATAGCTGGAATAATCTCCTGAGTCAGAGGGGTCACTGCTGTAAATTCCATCACTTTTGGTAAGTGGCATCTTTACTCTGTCTTGGAACTGTTGACAAGATATTAGAGAGCATCCGCATGCCATGGCTGCGCGTTTGCAAGCTGGCCCTATCTAGCTAGCCGCAAAATAAAGATAAATATGTGGCATGGTTTCAATAAATTGGCCTTGATGCAACGGTACTATCTTCATGCTGGGGTCTGCTTGGAGATGATTGCATTTTGGCAAGGGAAAAGGGATTCCACTTCCAACTTTATACAAAGTATACATTTATCATAAAACTATGGAACAGATCAGAAACCGTGGATACATTTTTTCATTAGGCAACTGGACATTTTTTCTGTGAAAATAAGAGTAAATTAAAATAATCTGAACTAATACTCCCCTGATGAACATGAAACAAAAACACCTTCCAAGGGAAAATGTATTGCTCAACAAATACGAATTAACTCCCTCAAATATGCTGTACCCGTATCGTCCTGCAATTCTGTCCTATCAATTAACTTTAAAAAGCAATTGAACCAAGACACAATGCAGAATAGATTTTAGTGCTCTCATAAAGCAAATGCAAAAAAGCCTTAAAACTTTTCACTTCTGTCTAGAAAGCAACCCCCGCAGCGCTTGAGCGGCAGATGAGCACAAAGCCAACTTACCTGACCCTGGCGTGGGGAGAGGGCAGGAAAACCACAAGGGCGGTTACTACCTCAGTTACTGGCAGACTTAGAGTTACTGCCCCCTCCTCGGTGCTGCTAAAGCACCCGCACCCCAGGCGCCCTCAATACAGTCTGTGCATGAAGCCCCGGCTGGAAACACTTACGAGGCAGCAGGAACTTACAGGCTGGTGCGCACGCCGCGTGGTGAGCGGGCGGTGCAATGGCCAAGCCGGGAGGTCCCGCCCGGGCTCTCTGCGCGCTGTCTGGAGCTGTGCAGCATCTAGCCGGGCGAGCCGCTCAGCCCTGGGCGAGCCAGGCTCCTCCGGGTCTTCCCCGCTCTGCTAGGAGCAGCCCGCCGCCGGCCCGCCTGTCCCCTGGATAATTGGCCGCGGCTGTCACGCGCTGGTATCCCTTTGCGGCTCGGACCCCCAACATTTATAGCAAGAGGCACAGCCGGGTCCCGCTAGTCTCTCACTCCCCTCCTGGGAGACCCCCCTGTGCCCTCTGCCCCTCCCACTTCCCCCCACGCAGGAGTGGAGCCGAGAGACTCCCCCTAATTCATCAGCCCCCTTCCTCTCCTCCGGTTGCTGCCGCTTGACCCCCCCCCCCTCCCCGGGGTGCAGTTTGCATCCAGAGTCGGGCAAGGCTGCGTTGTCTGCCTCTTCCCACTGGGCTCCGCCGCCGCTGCACACGGCGCTGGACTGGTCTTTCTACCTTTTAATTACACGCCTGGAGCTGGGAACTTTTCGTTCCTCCTCCAGAACTTGGCCCAGTGGGAGGGGAATCGAGGGGACTGAACGAGCTGCAACTTCGCTCTGCGTTGTCTGGGCTGCTCTGTTTCCGATATTCCCCTTTCGGTTGTTCAGCTGTTTGCTGGCCACTTGCGTGCGTTGGAAGGGGAAGGCACACATGTTGTGGCGAGCGCTGAATAAAATAAAGGCGACCTTGTATACGGGTTTCCTGCTTCCCTGCCATTAGTACAGAAGAGCTCAGTGTCCTATATTTCACACCCTAAAACAGCGTCCAATAGACATGCTGCCCGGGAGCCCGAGGGAAAAAAGTTACTTTAGAGGGAGGGCCAACTCCACCATAAATGCGGATAGCATAGTTTGTGTGGGGCTAATACATGCATGGTGTGTGTGTGTTGGGGCGGGGGGGCGGGGAGGGTTGGTTCATTCTCTATGGTGCATGCTGCAAGAAGAGGCCTATACATTTCCAGTGTGCATAGAGTTTCAAAAGCCCACTTGTAGGCATCAACAGAACCATGTGGCAAAACATTAACAGTGATCTGAGAATTAATAATATACAATAAATTAGTCAAACTTTACTACTTGCAGTGGAATACCCAAACAAACAAAGGTGAAAGAAGGGGACAGGGAAGCAGTCACTTTATATCAGGTTGGAAAATATGCCCTCTAAATGGGCACACACTGAAGGTCAGTGCCCGACAATGAATTTTTATTTATCTTACGTCTGATCTCAGTTAGCTTGAAATAGAGAAAGTTCACAAGCAGGCTATCTAAGCTCCTTATGATGTTGCTGGATCAGCACAGAATTTTTTAGATATGCTACTGGGAATGTGTTTAAATGCCACCTGTCCATCATTAAATACATAGACCCTTCTGTGAAGGGTGGTAGGTGCTGGTATGATGCCATACTGCGAAAAAGGCTGATTCTAAATGTCTACTGTCCAGGGTAAATTGTCCACTAAAGAGGATGACCTTGCTACACAGGATAGTAAAACTCACTGAGTGTTAGTGTATTTTCATGGTGTCTAGAAGTAGTTGGAACCATGGAAATACATTACTATGCCATACCACAAAAGAAAAAAAAGCAAATGAGGAAAAATTCCAATTTTATACTATTGCTGACATTAGCTGGAATAACATATGTTCTTCAGCATCTGCATATGTGTATTCGATAGGGATTTGTCTGGCTACAGGTCTTTTTAAACATCTGTTAGCTAAACCAGAGATTCAAATGAGAAATATAGAACTCGGAAGCATGACATGGACTTAAATTCTTTTAAGGAGTGTCTTATTGCACTTAGCAATGAATGAAATACCTGGAGACACAAATACATCCGTGGACACAATGTTGTCCTAATATTGTTCAAGTTATGTAAAGAAAAAGTATCTTTCCACCAGAATAATACTGTGAAATTTCTAAAGGAGAGAAGCTTCTCTGTGCATGAGTAAAATGACTAATGTATAACAATATCACACCACATTTAAAAGCTCCATAGTTCTGTGATTAGCAATTTAGGCACAATTTTCCTTTATTTTAAAATCCCATGTGTTCAGTAACTCACTAGAGTGCTTATCCAAAGTGCATTCTGAGGTTGCAGTAATTGTGGAATGTGTTATATGTCAGCAAAATGGGAGGCATGTCACACAGGCTTTTTTGACAATGATAGAGCAATTTGACTTTGCCATGTGTTAAACTAACAGTGTTGTAGCAAGCCCACGTGACTTTGCACAGTCCAAAAGCCATGTGTCCCAGACAGGGTACATCTGGCTGAAATTGCCTTCTCCTCAAAAAAATGTAAGGCTGAAAGGGCCCAGAAGAAGTCAGCAAGTCCAGCCCCCTGTACTGAGGGTGGAACGAGTAAACCTAGACCGTTACCAACAGGTGTTTGTCCAACTTGTTCTTAAAAACCTCCAGTGATGGGAATTCCACAACCTCCGTTTAAAGCCTGTTCCAGAGCTTAACTATCCTTAAAAATAGAAAGTTATTTCTAATATCTAATCTAAATCTCCCTTGTAGCAGGTTAGGACCATTATTTCTAGTACTACCTTCAGTGGACATGGAGAACAATTGATCATAGTCCCCTTTATCACAGCCCATAACATATTTGAAGGCTGTTGTCAGGTCCCACCTTAGCTATCTTTTTCTCAAGACTAAACATGCCAATTTTTTTAACCTTTCCTCAGAGGTCAGGCTTTCTAAACCTTTTTAATTTTTGTTGCTCTCCTCTGGATTCTCTCCAGTTGTCCACATTTTTTCGTAATGTCTGGCACCTAGACACAGTACTCCAGTTGAAGCCTCACTAGTGCCAAGTAGAGTGACAATTAGCTCCTGTGTCTTACGCAAGCCATTCCTTTTAACACACCCTAGAATGATATTAGTCTATTTTGCATCACACTGTTGACTCATATTCAATTTGTGATCCACCATAACTTACAGATCCTTTTCAGCAGTACTACTACCTAGCCAGTTATTCCCCATTTTGTAGTTTTGTAGAATTTGAGTTTTCCTTCCTAAATGAACTACTTTGCACTTGTTGTTATTGAATTTCATCTTGTGGAATTAGTCCAGTTCTTCAATTTATCAAGGTCATTTTGAATACTAATCCTATATTCCAAAGTGCTTGCCAACCCTCCCAGCTTGGTGTCATCTGCAGTTTTTCTAAGCATACTCTCCACTTCACTAACGAGCCATTTATGAAAATATTGAATAGTACTGGACTAAATATTCCCTCCCAGTTTCACAGTAAACCATTGATAACTACTCTTTGAGTTTTCTTTCAACCAGCTGTGCACCCACCTAAAAGTAATTTCATCTAAACCACATTTCCCTAGTTTTGTTTATGAGAATGTCATGTGGAACTGTATCAAAAGCCTTACTAAAATCAAGATATATCACAACTAGTGCTTCTGCCTATTCACTAGGTCGGTAACCCTGTCAAAGAAGGAAAATAGGTTGGTTTGGCAGGATTAGTTCTTGACAAATCTATGCTGGCTATTGCTTGTTATCCTATTATCCTCCAGGTGTTTATACATTGTTTAATAATTTGTTCCAGTATCTTTCCAGCTATCACAGTTAGGCTGATTGGCCTATAGTTCCCCAGGTCCTCTTTGTTCCCCCTTTTAAATATAGGTACTATGAAAGCCCTCTTCCAGTCCTCTGGGATCTCACTCATCCTCCTGTGTTCTGTGACTGACTGATATTCCCCGCTGGACAAAGCTAATGAAAACAACTTTGAATTATCTCATTGCCTTCATGATCAAGTTGTACTGAGTGGGCCCCAATGAGGGAAATCCATTTCCATGGCATTTTAGATAAATTCATGCAAGGAGCCTTGTCACTATATAGAAAAACATTCCTTAGGCAATCAAAAGACCTCAAACCCCCTTCACAGAATGGAAAAGTGAACAAACCTATATTCTGAGCATAGAAAAGATCCTCCTCTGCCACACGGCTGCCTGGAAAACTTTTAAAAATCATTGGGGCTTCAAGATACAATATTTTCTTAACTAATCACTCACATTAGACTACGAGATATGCACCTACCCAGGGGATCTAAACATATGGGGTATATCTTGCATTCAGTGCCCCCTGTGATGGGGTAATATCAGGCATTCAGTGCCCACTGCTAGAAGCACCTTAAAAAGGTGTCCAGCTGGAAGGGAAGAGTAGTGCATTCAGACCTCTAGGGGTTATCTAGAGAGGTTATCTAGAGAGGCATCCCACAATCAGTGACTGGCAGAACCAGTGAGAGTTGATCCTCCAGCATCTAGAAGGGCTAGAGGCAAATTAGAGCTGAGCAGAGATGAGGTCTGGCTGCTTCTACTTGGGGACAGTTCTGGGGAAGCCGGGACAGGGAAGGAAGGTGCTCCCTGCCCTAACCCAAGTAACCTGGCCCAGTCGGGGCTGAGCCTTGACAACATTGTCTGTGGGTCTCTATGAAGGACTAGCATTTATATTATGGACTTTAATGCTCCAATGGCTATTTTGAGTTAAGATTTCATTTGTTTTCAGTTAACCCTGGAAGGAAACTGGACTGAGACCTGATCTAGCCAGAGGGCTAGGCCATGGAAGTGACAGACCATTTCAGAACCAGGACACAAGGGGGAGCTAGAGGCAAAGATGCAATGCCATGTGCTGACATGAGGGGGCCCTGTTGGTGAGTGCACCCTATAACAGATCCCACCCCTGTTCTTTTCCTTTCCTACTTTTTACTTTTCCCTCCCTTGTTCTTCTCTCAGGACCAAAACCAATAGCCTGCCCAAATCTCAACTACACAGGCAGGAATCCCTTTCCCAGAAGCTGTCAGTGCTACCTCAGGATTGAAGTGTGCTGCCCCCTGCCATGTGGCGAGAAAGTCACAGGCTTAGTCTATACAGAAATTCTATCGGTATAAATTATATTGTATTAGCAGTGTAACTAAGCAAGCTGTGTTGTGCTCAGAGTTTTCAAGACAGGGAATACAATCCAACATGGAGGCTAGCTGTTTTCTGGCCTTTTATAGCACTTGCAGCAAATTCCTGCGTTTTTTTCTTTAAGTCCCGTGTGTTACGGATTTGAAATTTAATAATGATACAAGATGTTGAATAATCAGGCTCCATTGGAATTTACTTGTCAGAGATTATTAGTCAAAGATCAATACAGAAAGAAAGGTTATGCATATCAAGTCAGTGTGGGGAAGTGACTTTC